ACTTCAGGTACTAATGGAATGAAGGGAGAGGAACAGACCTCTTTAAGATAGCTGAGAAGCAACTGTTCTTCTGTGTTTTGTTTTGGTTTGGTTGTTTTTCCTGAGCAATTCTGTTAAATGCTGAATGATGAGGTAATTTGCTTTGTAATGAGAAAGAAATTCTCACACTGAGCTGTTTATGGATATTTTATTAAGGAATCTTTAAGCTCTACAGAAGTACACGATTTTGTATACACTGATTAAGTGGGGCTCCTGCTCTGGGTCTCGGTTTCTTCGAGTTCTAATTTGGGCAGAGTGAAGTGTCTTGTAATGAAGATTTCTGCAAATTTTTCTTTTTTGCAAAGGCTTTCAACAGGAAGAAAAGATTTAGGGATATAATTGTGATTCATAATTATCTGTGTACGCTCCAGAAGTCTTGTCTTCTGTGTAGTCACAGAGATCCATTATGTATGTAGTGTGAATGATAAAATTGTTACCATCTGTTTACATACTGATAGCAGGTGAAAATAAAGCTATCAGTGTAAATGACTTACTGTTATTAAAGCTGAATTTCTGTCTTCGGCTAATAAGTTCTGTTTGTGTTTCTCCAGTTCGATTCAAAGAATGCTCTATTATGAATGAGCTTAGAGATTAGAAACTAAGAGCACTGGTACATCCTTCATTAAAGATGACACTATTGAATCAAACTTTCCCTTCTAGCTAAACAAAAAATATCTTAAGCCTAGTTTGGTGGTACCTCAATCCAGAATCCTGCTCTGAAATGGTATGTAAGAGTTCTGAAATGACAGGATGCAACTGATATGCTCAAAATATTTGTAGTAAATTTTCACACTTACTGGTAGTTGTCATTAAAAATCATTCAGCAAGTATTCGAGTTCTCATTGAGGTGTATTGCTTTAATACTGGTTGAGGATAACTGTACTTTATCTACTAGATCTATGTATTTTTACACTGTTTCTGTCTGTAACAAGTATTAACACCAGTGTGTATAGTAGAATAAGAAACCTTGATATATTCAGTAAAACTGAAGTTAACTGAAAACTAAATAGATCAGATGTTGAAATAAATGGAGTTTAGGTGGTTTTGCTTTCCAGACTCCTAGGCTGATTATTTTTTACCCCTTTGTTATAGTGCCAATTTATAGAATATGCTAAATACCTTGATTCCTTCTCTTTAGGTTGACTGGGTTTATTAATGAGAACATCTTACACCTCTAGTCCCAGTGGACCTTTGTTTTCTTTTGCCCTTGTGTTTTTGCTCTATATTAGGAGGTAATCCATCCATAGCACAATGCCAGCTGCCTCTTTCTTAAATGGTCTTTTTTGTGTCAACATAAACTTTTGAGAATCAAGCATTACATGAAAAACTCTCTCAGTGGAATGTAGCTCTCTCCTGTTTTCAGCTTCCTGTAACCAGTAGCTGGAAGGACATGTCAAAAAGAACTTGTAGTCAGTCTTTGAAGGGCTTGTGGAAAGTGTTAGGAAGCTTCTGGCAGGTCTCTCCTTTGTGTTTGCTCTGCAATCTTTCATCTTCAGGAAGTATCAAAGGCATCAACTGAGTGGCCTGGTTTTTTGTCTGCTGTTGCAGATTCTGTGGTGAACATCCCTTAAACTCCTTTTTTATAGTGACTATGGCCCTGGAGAGGGGCCTCCTTAGCTGCTGGAACAGTGGTGCATTCTTTATAATCATGTGAAATGACTGATGTTCTTTCTGCTGTGGCACATATATTGTTGATGCCAAGTGCTGCCTTTGGTTTGCTTTGTCCGTACTGGCAGCAATGGGTGTTGCCTCGGGGCAAGTGAGTGTTTGGTGTGTTCTGGTACTTTATTAGCTTTTATTCGAGTTATTGATATATTGATCTGAAATCCATAGCAGATGTTATGGTAGAAGTAATGCCTTGTCTTCCAGCTCATTGAGATCTTCAACCTTGATTTCTCTGATCATATTTTTCATCTGTTTACATGGAAGATACCAGTAGAAATCATGGAAGCGTAATGGTAGTGGTCCTCAAAGCTAAAATATGTGGTTATGTGGAAAAAACAAGCTTGTGAATAAAGTAATTTCTCTTAGTGGAGCAAGCACCCTTTAGACTTAATAGTGGAAAAATCTCTGATTTTTGCTTGGGTTCAGAATATTGAGAATGAAACCTTGTTTACAGTTTTTGGGTAAACACTCATTAAAGCTTCAATCTGTATTAAGGAAAACCGTTGGAATTAAATATTGCTATTACACAAATTTTATACAGTTTAGATTACTGACTAATGTGTTTTCCTGAAATACTGTAGGCACATATGGCTCTGCTTCCCTGGAATTACTGCACTGGCTAAGTCACTACATTTCAAGGTGATGTTTTAAGTTACTAATATTTTATAAGTAGGAAGATTATATGAAACATATGACAGTAACTTTTTTAATATTACATGGTGTATGACTGGAAACTATTGTCTCCACAGCTCTGACTTGTCTTCTTCAAAATTAAGCATAGTTAAAACACTATTCTCTCTTTGCTTATCCTATTCATCTTTCTTACTGATATTCTTTTGTCTTGCAAACCCTCTGTTAATGATATTTTTTATTTGCAGTTTGGTACTTCATAGATAAAAAATAATAATGTTGAGATTACAGTGTATGTTTCTGCAGGGTTACTTTAAAACATCTCATAATTTCAGTAAGAGTATTGAGGTTTTTTTAGTGCTTACTATGTTATTTCTCATGTGAATGTGCAACTGGAATGGAGAATCTGACTCTGGTAGCTTTGTCTCCAAGAATTAATTGCAAATCTGGAATAGCCAAAGTATTTTTCTAATTCAGTTTTTTATTATATAAGATTGTATTTAAAGGATCCACAGATACAATTTGTACATTTATATACCTTTGTATTTCTTTTTCCTAGTATTTTTGGTGAGTTGTTCATGGCAGCAGTCTGCTGACTCTAAGGCAATACATGTTTTTCTACAATTTTTAGACTGTGCTCAATAATTCAGTAATGTGCCATTATTACCTATTTAATGTATTCTTGCCATTAAACTTTCATTTGCTTTTGTACAGTTAAATGTCATTGAATACTGAACTGTACCAGGTTTGTCTTGTGTTAAGATGAGCAATTCAACAGTCCAAGCTTGAAATTCTAACCAAGGAGGTTAAACTTCTTTTCAATACACTGAGAATACAGATATTGCTGCTGTGCTTGCACTGGTGTGGCACTTTATAGGCAGATGGTAGTTTCAAAATCTTGATATTTATATATTAATATCCATCACATTGTTGGTTTCTCTTTCTAAATGAACATTATAAGCAAACAGCTTTTCTCTTGTAATACTGAGGTTTTAATTGAGAGGAGAGAATTGCTGGGGGAAATTTATATTAGATAAAGCTTTCGATCATACTTTTAAGAACCAATTTTTAAATTACTGTTTACCTACTCTCCCATTTGTTAGGGCAGGAAAATCCGGATGGGATATTAGACCTCTTTCCAGTGGAAGGTATTTTCAGCTTTCTTTCATGCTTGTGCAGTGACAGCCTTTTAGGTACTCAGCAGTATCCAAATGCTACAGAAATGTTATTAATAGAATATCCACCTGAATTTCCATTCCTTGTTATACAATTTGTTGACTATTTTCTGAAGGATCACTTTTGGGTTTAGTCTAATCTCAAAAAGAAAATTTTTTTTATGATTTCTCTGTATATCTCTGTCCCCTGTTTAGTTTCCAGTTTCTTTGTTGTTTTTCAGAGACTGGGATCTCAAAAATGTTGTGTAATTAGAAATGTGATACTAGGCAGCCTCTCAAATTAGAGTCTCAGGTCTGGGGAAAGGCTGAAGCGTGAGCTCTGCTCTATTAACGATCAGAATCCGCATGGAAGAGAGTCGTTACAAGGAAAAGCCACAGGGAGCCAGGCTGAATGATTTCTGTAGTTCAGGGAATAACTTGTCTTTTGTTCTTGGGGTTTGATATGTGCAGCACAACACTTTCATCAGCTACAATTGGGTATCAGCAGAACTAGTTTAATCCTGTACCAGCTGTGGTTTTTCCCAGTGATTTGTGACTTTGTGGATATAAACAACCACACAGAACAAAACAGCAGAGTGAAACGTACTTGCTTTGAGGCAAACTAATATTTCTCTTAATAGGTTGCATTGCACCCTTCTTGTATTTGCAAAATAATTGTTAAAAAATATTTTTCTTAATATAGGGGGGAAAAAAGCCACATTTTTTCCATTTAAAAGCATTATTATTAAAACTTTTAATGATGACTGCTGAGATGAAAGTCAATCTCAGTCTCATTTCTAGACTTCCATACTTCCTAAGGAAAAGAAAAAAGACTTGTGTCGTTCCATGGTGTTTTTCTCACTAATAATTTTTCAAAACTGTTTGTCAGTTTACTGGGGTGGGTGGATATTTCATTTTTGTAAGTTCTGTGAAATTACACAGTTGAGAGCAGCTCAAAAAAGTGTACCTAGGACAGGATGCCTGGGGCATGAGCTGTGTGGCTGGGCAGGAAAGAATCCACAGAGAAGACTTTTGTAATAAAAGGCAAAGAAAATTAGATGTTGTACTATATAATTTTACCATTGATAGTTATGCATGTTTAGCATATAAAATGTATGTCCATAATGTGGGGAACATGACATCACCTGAACGCAGTGAGAGATCATAGAGTCTCACAGCCAACTAATTTTTACTGTCATTTCATAGAATGTATTTTATAAAATTAGTCATTACTTCAAAGAGAAACGTCCAAGTTATTTATAGATTTTATAAAGTTGTATATTCTGTTAGTGTCAAATCTTCACCATTGGAAAGGGGTCATCTAATGGAAATGTTAGTATGAACTTGCAGACATGTTAATACGTAAAAGTGTCATATTTGAAAGCAGAACAGCACTTGCACGTTTTCCAGTTTTAACGTTTGTACTCACTTGTCTTTACTTTGTTACTTTGTTTACTTTATTTACTGTTAGATTGCACTGCATTTGAATCGTTTTCCTTAACAAAACCTTACAGCTTTGCTGAGAGTGCCCGAGAGCAATATGAAAAATTGTCCAACATGCACAACAACATGACTAAATTGTATGAAAATTTGGGAGAATACTTTACCTTTGATCCCAAAGCAATAAGCATAGAAGAATTCTTTGGCGATCTGAGCAACTTCAGAACTCTATTTTTGGTGAGTAATGTCTTCAAAATGTTACATATCTTCTGATATCTTTTTTTCCCAACTTTAATTCTTTCCTCATTTCTCTATTTTTGCTATCATAGTTAGCTTTATGTTTTGTCCTGTGGCAGGAAATTGGGTGAATGTTTCCAGAATTATTTAGATTTTGATCACAGATAGCTCTTGTCCTCCGGTTGACAACTCAACTGTGAATAAGGTTGAGACATATGGATAGTTAGTTAGAAAATATTTTTCCTCTTTTAACTAAAATTGCCTGTTGGCTGACACACAAGAAATAGACATGATCTGAAAAGCATGTTAAAATCCAGACCTGAATGGAAGTGCCTACATTCATATTGTGTTAGAATCTGGCTGGTGCCTTGGTGATACTGAAACCTTGGAGATGAGCTCTGTGTTGCTGACACAAGTTCACTCAGGTGTTTGTATCACCATTTCCAGTCATCCACAGTGATCAGGGTATGTCTTTTTTTTTTTTTTTTTTAAGAAATTCAAGAATTTAATTTTTAACAGTTAAGATTTTAATGGGTTTAATGTCATCTTTCCTAGTGGCTTTCTGGAAGCCATAATTAGCTGCACCATAGGAAGTGTACAGGGAAAACAGATGCCTGGAATGTCACATTGTGTCTCTGGAGAATACAAACATCACTTGGAAATACCACTGTTTGCCATACAGCTGGGGCTCACTGCTCTGCCTGTTGCAATGAATTTATCATGCAGTCATAAGAGTTTCAGTGTGATGGAGGAATAACTGCTTTTAAACATCATTAGTGGAAGAGGCTGTTGTGAAAGGTTTGGTGCAGTTAAACCACCCTCTATAGTTGAATCCTTTTCTTCTGCTAGCTTTGATTTGAAGCAAGTACCTTTTGTACATTTTCAGCTTTTTTTTCAAAAGTAACCCAACTCTTGTATTTCAGTTGCATACTGAATCAATTTTAATGGTCTTTCTTTTTAAAATTTGGATACATGTACTAGCAATGGACAAATCAAGTGTAAGATCTCTTTCTGGTAGGCAAAGGTTTTTCTAGATAGAAGAGACATACCCCAAATAGTCTTTCTGAGTTTCCTGAAAAGTATGGCTAATTTCTTGCATTGTTTTATAATTTTAGAAAGTGGACAAAATAATTTCCTAGGATACTATTCAAATGCTCATGTTGGTCTAAATAGTTAATTATATCCATCTGATTCTATGGTCTTTAACATTTTATCTGTCCTTTTATCTTCAAAGCCTATTTTTAACAAAGTTATTCACTAATGAAATGAACTTGGACCATATGTATGATGCATACTAATTTAAATAGGAATGTTCCAATATAAAATAGTGAAATCCAAGGCCTATGTAGCTCGAGGAGACACTTTCTTTTCCACAGCATCACTTCTGCTTCAGTCAATTCACTTGTTCAGATACATACAGTAGTAGTAGTAATTGTAATTAGGTCTTTTGAGAATTTCTTGACTTATTTTATCCACTAGAGCAGAACTTTGTAGACTTTAGTGGCATAAAGATTGTTGTTTAGGGATTTAATTTTTTCCAGACGCTTGAGCAAGGCCTAGGGCAAACATTAGAAGTTCACAGTACAGCAATTTATTTTTTTTTCTATAAAGAAAAAAATTACTGAAAAGAATTAAGATTTTCTGCAATATTTTGATGTTTGCAAGAAGGTTTCCTGAAAGAAAGGAAAAAGATACAGAAACTGCTTTAATCTGTAGGATTTACTGTAAGAAAGTAATAGCTACTGATAAGAATTCAGGAGCAATCAGATAAGACTGAGGATATACAGCATCTCCAAACGTTCCCTAGAGCATGAATTGTTATTAAATTTGTCCAGTTCAGACTGATGTAATGCCTGCATTCTTTCTCTAAGTGGTCCCATTAACTTTTAGTATTTTGGTAAATGACTTAAGTATAATTTCAAATATTTTTGAAATATTGATGACTGGTTTCTTCCTGTTTATCATTCTCCTATATTTTTGCTAGTGGCTGACTATTGATAAAAGCTTGTTTCTTCTGCCACTAGCCATTTTAATGGCATTCCTTGAGTCCCACAACTTTGATGAAATAGAGGCCTTGCAATGACACCAGGCAGCTGCCTGGCCTGCCAGGTGGCAAAGGTTGAGATGGAGGTGGCACAAGTATTTCAGCCTCTTCTTTGATGTGGGGTTCCATCCTCCATTCAACTGCTGGCCTTTGTTTTTCTTCATCCTCCTTTGAGTGTCCTCGTAGCTATAAAAACCTTTCTTGTTCCTTTTCTCATTGACAGTTTATCTCCATCTGAGCTTTGGCTTAATTGCTTCCCTCCCTGGGCAGTATTCCTCCTGGATAGTATAGCTGGTCTTCCACTTCTCCATATTTCTGACTCGTGTCAGAGCTCCATCAGGAATGCCTTGTTCAGCCAAGATGGCCCCTGTCCCACCTGCTCAGCTTCCCACATGGCAGGACAGGTGTTGCTTGTGCTTTAACAATGTTTTCCTTGAAGGTTAGTTGGGAATAATGAACACTTTACATATACATTGCATTTTAATTGAAACCACAGTGTATATAGTTGGAGATAATTGGCCTTTGTGAGCGCTTAAATTCAACATAGCCCTTCAGAAAAGCTTCACTTGGCTTCTGTTACATTTGTACAACAGATGTTTCCCTTTGCTTAACCTATGATTTTGCTATGGAAAAGCAAGAATACTGACTAAATAGGTTGATTGGAATGTCAATTTTTCTTTGTTTCATTTACAACTAAAAAATGTGTTATAGCATCATGCAACTTACGTAGTGTATTTAGAAAGGTGGAATATGTATATAAATGTTTCTAAAGATGAATCTAAAAATTAAATTAGAAATATATTCTGAATGATACATTCCCAGGTCACAGAGAAAATTATCTCTGTGGTTTTGTATGTACAGATACATATAAAAGTATATATATATATGTTCGTCTTATAACACTCACATCAAGCTATTTTAATGGTAAGAAAGCAGCTGCCCTTTTGAAAATTCATGTTAGAGACTTTTGACAATTGTTGAAGGAAATGCCATATTTAATGGAAAATAATGCTTATTTTATTACTTGAAATGTAAAAGTAGATGCATGCATCATCTTTTCTGATTGCTTGCCTTTTGCAAGTTGGACAAAACCAGTATTTAGCAAATGCACCTCCACAAGGTCTAAGCATTCAGCAGTTGTTGGGCTGAACGAAAAGATGTAGAGTTTACAAGAAAAACATTTTCTGGAAGTCAGTGTTGTTTTTCATCCTTCCTTCTTCTGATCAAAACGTAACAGCAATATAGTGATATTCCTTTGGACCCTGTAGGTTCTCCTCAAGTTATTTTCCAACAAAATTTTTCACACAAATAATTTGTTGTTCTGTTATCCCTAAACAACGGGAGGAAAAGCAATTCTAAGTAGGCAGTGTAGGCTCTTACAGGAACTGACCTTTCTCAATTTCTTCATGAGACATATTGATTAGGGTTGGAACACTTCCTATGCTTTCCCAGCAACAGACAATTACCCCAAAAGATTGATTCTTTTGTGGGCATTTTGTTGTTCTTTTTTTTGTTCTAAAAACTGTACAAAGTCTCGAAACAAGTACCAAAATTAAGTGCAGTCTTTTGTACTTAGGTTTTATCAACATCTGTCTACCTTTGTGTGAGAGAGAATAAGAATTTTTTGGGCTGTTCTGATATGTCAGGAGCAGGAAGAAAGTGTTGTGTAGGGAGTCAACAGTCTAAGTGACACCATAGAAACTGCCCTTTGTACAATTGCAAATTCCCAAATAAACTTAGAGCCCCTCTGCCCAAACCTCTGACCAAACACTACTTGTGAGCCTGTTCAGTTCACTGAGCTGCAATACAGGGAATTGGCCTAGAGATGCAGAGAGAAGAAACAGAGTTTATTTATTTATTATTCTATATCTGCTCCCATTTTATCCCCAGGCTTCTCTAACCATTTTTGCAGGAAATGTAATTAGAGCCAGGGGTGCAGTGAGACAAGGAAATAAAGTGTGCATCACGTTCCCCCTCTTCCAGTCAGACGTCGTGTCCCTCACAGGCCACTCATGGCTGTGCTGATCCTTGCTCAATCCCTTTTTTTTTATTTTGTTTTAAGATTAGGTAGAATATTTAAAACTTTGAAGTGAGCATTTAAACAGATTTGTCCTGGTGCTTGTGTCACCTCTCTCTTCATTTACTTCTCTGATTTTGTGCTGAAGTATGTCCTGATAACCTCACCATAATTAGGGAGGTGAATCTCAGGTTGTAAGTAAAGCACTTCAGCAGGACTTTCCTCTGCCAATGGAACATGAGTCAAAATTCAACCCAGAAGGAGGAAAAGAAAAAAACATGCAGTTAAAATAGTAAGTCCACTGGATAATATCATCTCTTTTATATTTAGGACTTTCTAAAGAAGAAATATTTTTCAGATTTTTACTGATTTAATCCTTTATGCCATTGAAAGTAAACACAAATTTCGATTGTCCTTGAGGACAATTGCAACCTGATACATTTTGGCTTGATATCGTTTCAGGCTCTTATCAAATAATGATTAATCAGTTGCCTGAAGCAAGATGCCAGTTTGTTCTTTTCTGTTTGGGTTCTTTACTTTAACTTGCTGTCTCACAGTTTATATCAAGTGACCTGTAATATTTTTAAGCTCTCACTTTCTGAATGTTTGATTCTGTTGGTGGTAGAATATTGAAAAACATCCACCAAATCTGTCATGCCTACATTTGCAAATGGACATAAACATTCTTTTAATCAGATTGTGTGCTTCATGGAAGTTGTATGAAATACGTACTTTAGCACTAGATAGGAAAAGTTCTTTTTTGTTATACAGTTTTTAAAGGTGAATTTTGAGTCTAAAAATTAAAGCTGTTTTTGAAGCAGTAAGAGGCATTTTTGTTCAGTGAAGTGATTTTTTTTTTTCTTATATCTAGTAGATAGTTTTATCAGTGGTGGCTGCTTCCCTCACATTTGTGTAAATTCAACTCTTTGAATAAGGAAT